TCTGGGGCCATAGTCACAAATTTTTCCTGGTCCCACGCCTCATCCAGCTCAGCCTGGAGCAGTTCTGCAGGTGTGCTCCTCCAGGAAGGGGACAGATGCCCCTGAGCCATGGCGACTCAGGAGCCACACCTCGGAGTGCTTCAGAGCAACGGATCATTCTGCCCTCACAGCATCCTCCCTGCCTGCAGAGGGAGGACACCGATGCTGCAGGGCTTCACATTGGGAGAAGGGGACTTGGCCCATCTCTACAATTGCCAAAACACCCAGACCAGGGTGTTGGACAGATTGTTTTGGGGTTCCTCACACAGGATGGGGCTGCAGGACCTCCTCTTTGCATGGCTTGGGGGCTGAAAACCCCAAGGCTGTGCATGCACAACCAAAGCCAGGCAGGCAGACCCCCACATCCACATCCTGGTGAGGACCCCTACTCTAATGCTCAAAATCAAAGTCAAGAGTGAGGAAAGGTCCTCTCAGCTGCTTCCTCGCTAAAATGCTGAGAATTTGGAAAAAAAACAGTGCTATGCAAATGCCGTGGCATTTAGCTGTGGCCTTTTTCTGTATGCATGCGAAAGTGGGGGACCTCGCTGTGGGCGCCTCTCCCCCCAGGCAAGCTGAAAGGCCGTGGCAGGGACTCATGCCTTTTTAATGAAGGGGTTTGCAGGTAGGACCCCCCCGGCCCCATCTGCTCTTCCGTTCACGCTGGGAAGGCTCTCTTTGATAGCAGGAGCTAATTGCTGCAAACCTCCCAGGATGGGCTGTTTGGGGACTTTGAGAAAGTCTTTTTAAGAAAAAATGTTTTCAGCAGGTCCTTCCCCAGGTCCCATCAGTGAGGGCCTTCCACACAATTTCAGAGCTCCTCTTGCCTGCCGGGTCACAGCCGCCCCCGAGGCTGGTCTGCCAGGGAGCCCTACCTGAAGCCAGCTAATACATGCCCTGTTGACTCCAGAGAACACCGAGGATTTTTTTTTTTCTTTTAATCATGGTGTAGCTCTGTGACGGTGTGCTCCCCCGCCCAACCTGACCTTTATCTCCTGTAACCCTGCTTAAGCGATAACTACCAGGGACAGTTGTTAATGGGTGCTGATAGTGGTAGCTTCGTCCATTAACGAAGTGGATTCGGGAGCCAGATAACAACACAGTAGCCCTTGGTTATTGTGAGAAATACACCCACCTAACCACAGTTATCAGTACGCAAATATGACTATGAGTCAATCATCTTACCCCTATAAATAGTGAGCAGCCCAAGAGCCCTTTGAGCTCTCCTGCACGGCAGCGGGCTGCACGGCGGGATCTCCCCTTGAGTAGGGACGCCTCTCAAAGTTACTCCTCGAGGTTGAGAGATTCCTTGCCACGACAGATCCTCGGTAAGTGACTAATAGCATGCTAAACTTTGAAATCTTAGCTAATATAAAGGATTGATTGCACATATATAATCCTTTAGACATAAACCGTTGACCAAGACTGGGACTAGGATTGGATCCAGCTGCACCTAAACTCCTCTCTGAGAAGTTTAGGAAGCAAGGGGGTCCCTTCTGAACCTCATGACTCAACGGGAGGGTCTCCCTGACAGTTTTGTCTGACCCTGTCCTCTATGCAGTAAATAATCAAGTGTACCTTGCCATCGAATCTTGTTCCCTGTCGCATTTACCATTGGACTTCGTTAATTCACACTTTAACTCACTGTTTTCTATCAATAAAGTATTGTTGCTTCTCTCTTACAAGTGAAGTGCAGTCTCACTCCGTCCGCGACAATCTCTAAACCCAACAACTTACAAATTTTTGTACACCCTGTAGGTCAGACTCATAGTCTCGTCCAAAGCCAAAAGGACAGGCTGGCAAGGTGACTTTCCAGGAAACCATATTTATGGGCATTATTTATATGTTTAATCTCTAAATTGTGAATTAATCGCTCCCCTATTTTGCTGATGGCAGAGGGCAGGTTAAGCAGTCCGGGGCACTTAGGAAATCCTTCAAAATCTTGGAATTATTTTTACAATCCTCATTTTTTTATAATGGTCCAAATTTTGTCAGGAGTTAACACTGGAGGCCCAATGAGCGCTCCTTGTCCTGGTACAGCTCTCGCTGGGAGACACATTTACCAGGGATTTGAAAGCTCCATCTACAAGTAGAAACCATCTCATATCTCCCTTGAGACATGGTAAACTGCCTTTTCTAGCCATGTCACCCGAGACAGGGTATTCTGCAGCTTCGTTTCCAACAGAGAACAAGAAGAGCTATTGAACGTCTCAGCCTTTCACACTTGTTTCTGGATTCCCCGTCTCCGTGCATCAGTTGGGTGGTACCTGACTGCTCACACTTTTCATTCCAGATGTTCTGCCTCCTTACCACCCGGACCCTCCTCAGCCACTGCTACTGCTACTCCAGAGCATCCTTGGCACTTACCATGTTTCTTTTTGAACCCAAATATTTTATTTTTTGCTCTTTATCTTCCCCCATGCCACAGCAAGATGCTGTTTATATGGCAGCAAGGAGTAATTTGGTCTCTCCTGGAAAATCAGTGCGTGAGGAAGGGTGGAAACAGTCCCTCATTTCTAAGCTCAGCTGCTCACCCAAGGGCTCAGGCACCGCTGCTGTTCAGCAGCCCCCAGCCTTTCCCAAAGAGCCTCTGCGGGCCGGGGCATGCAGGATTTGCCCAGGGCTGCAGGA